GTAAACTATATATATACATATATATATATATATACTCAACTCTACGGCAACCACCAACATCATCAGAGATGGCAACATTAGCGTCGACATTGATGAAATTGCCTCACAGCCACAAATTTTACTTAATTATATTCAAAACCTTTGAGTGAAAAGAGTGGACGGAAAAGGAACGTAGTTCTAGCCCACTCCTAGCATCGGTACGACCATCAGACATCAATAGACACTTATTCACGATCTATTCAAAAGTATGTCACAGTTACTAGAACTGAGGAAATGCTTGGGACAAATATTGTATCCCTTGGTAGTCTAGGATAAGTGGGTACTGTTCAAAGATACTTATACTCTGAGCGCAAATGAACACATCCAAGCTTGTGAGGAAATTGCGCGCCAAATTTAAATTAATACCGGTTGTGTGGAGCTAGTAGTACAATATCTCAAGCTAACGCAGCGTCTTTTTTGTACATAACGATGAAAGGGGAGGAACAGAAAACCATGTCAATTTAACGTGTCATAACTTTATGAAAGCGTTTTTTCTGAGGGAGGTCCAGTCGGTCCCAATGGTACTCCGGATTGCCGTTGTCCATCAAGCCCAACCAGTAAAAAAAGCCCGAGCATAGCGCTACGCAGTTCCTTTATTGATACCGTATATTATATGGATACCCAGTAGTTATTGATAGTTTAAACAAATACATCTTCAGACGAGCATGTCTTTCTTAAACCGTCTAAAAAAGTCACTCCGTCATCGATAACATGATATCAGTGTTCAACACCGACATTTCGCTGCTGTACAACCATGATTTACTCGAAAACCTTATTGTGAATGAAAAATTGGACGGCGGACTTAGTGCTAGCTTACTGCAATCATTCTGAGGTGCCTACACTTCCAGACACTCATTCGGGCATTCTGGATAGAAAATGACTACAAGAACGCTATTGGCACCGACTAGCAGCTATAACTTGCAGCGCCTCCAACCAGGCGCAGTAGGGATCACGTGGTCCCCATCCTGAAAGGTAACTAGCATCGACAGCATCCAAACATTTCGTAGTATCCTTCATGTCCCTCTTCCAGTAAGTACTGTGCCCAGTTGTTTTGTAGTTTTTTGGCCACCAACCAAATAGCAAAAGTACAACGGCTTCGGTTTCCATATCTCCATTCTTTTAAACGCAGTGGGGGCTGTTCACCCCGTTTCGGTAAATAGTTAAAGCAATGAGACGCAAATGCAATACTAACGCTGCGTGGTGCAGTTTCGATAGTCTTCTATTCCCTCACAATCACATCTATATTAAACCATTTCTCGAGAAGTGACTGGTAATGTTGGTGCAAACTTACTGTTAGTGTTGACAGACCATGCATGTCAGCCTACCTAGGAGTAGATGTGTTCCATACTGTAGCTTTCGTTCATGAAACTGGTAATTGTTGGAATGGTTGTATGTTTGTTGGGGACCCGTTGCTCGACCATCAACCAATGGACTGATCGCTTCTAAATTGTCTCCACAAAGTCCTTGGTTAGAAGGAGACGACTTTTTGATCCGCTCGATTCATTTAGTGTAGTTGGTTGTGAGGTTAACATGCGGATAAAATAGTCTAGTGATATAATAAATGGGTATGTAGACTGCCTATCGGACCTTAAATCTCACCTCGATGGTTTCGCTTTACTATAAATTATTTGAATCAAAGGAATTAACCGCTGTAATTTGCTTTTTGTCGGTCATTTACTATAAACCGTAACCCATGCATTCATCGCACTTCATTCTTACGCTTCCGTTTCAGCTTCCTGTCCAGTCTGAGCAAGCAATGGCAAGTGGTGGATGAACATGGTGATGTAGTGGATGACGATGAAACTTCGAGCATCGGTGAGTCCCTCACTGGTGTATCACTTTTACTGCCTTTTTGGCCTACCATTTTGTTTTTTACTGTCGTTTGTTGCTTTACGAGTTCAGTCACTGTTCGAAACTTATGATCCAGGTCGTTGTGATCTTACACGCACCTGTTATGTTGGTAGTAGAATGTTTTTTTTCCTAAGTTGAATACTGGTTTCAAAATCTTCAGACCTTCTATACTTTCATGAACTTGAGCCCCGAATCATTGTCCCTCCCGTTACGTGTGACAGACCTGTGGATCTTGTGGGTCGTCAGAAATCGCACCTTTTGTGTTTAACTCCTAACTCTTCATGGCTTCACACACTCAGTCAATGGAGTGTGGAAATATGGTAGGTCGTACGGTGGCCAGCTAGGTGCTCCGGAGATGAAGCTTGCAGTATGTCTACGCTCAATAATAAAAAACTTAACTAACCCGGCCTGACATCAAAGGTCCAACTTTATGCTCATACGTATGACAAAATGTTCTGCAGACTATTTGAGGCCTCATTTGGATCTCATAACAATGGCGTTTGTTGGTCGATTGCTAGACAGTGTGTGGCATCAGTATCAGTTTTTTATTAATAATTGATTAATGACTGGGCTCATGTGATTAATGGTGCGCGTGCGTGTGTGTGAACAGTGGCATTTAAACTTTTACTGTGAATGCGAAAAGAAATCATACTACAATCATGTGCGTGACAGGAAAGAGGAAAGAGCTTTAAGACGCACGCGCTCGATCAGAACGTCAGTGGAACAGGTTTTCTACTGACGCTCGATTACTCCAATGTGGGACTACGCGATCTGACGCCATTTCGGTCTTCATGTTTCCTAAAGATTGCTCGGTACATACACTGTGAGAGCGCGATGCAACATCTAAGTATTCGCCTCATATTCAGTTGCCAATGTCGTTTAGTACTGTATTTCCCATACGGCTTTAGTCCTTTGCTAGGTAGGTCGCTAATACGTCTTCGTTTGAATGTTCACAGTGCCCCGGTTTCTTTGTCTTCTAATCGCTTAGTCTGGCAGACGAGTGTTCACGCTCGCGATTTCATTTGAACAGATGCAGTCTCTGGTCAGACAGCAACATCAACAGTTTGAGCTGGCGCGGTCGAAGCTCATCGAGACGAGGATTGAAAAGTTGTCACTGCCGAAGCCGCTTAACGAGACTATTGAGTCGTCCGCTTCAGTGATTGACACAACACCCAACACGATTCCCGAATTCCAGTTCGATCCGATATCATGTATTACTTTTGATTCATCAAACATGAAGACTTGTTCAGAGTGGATCCGGAATACAGAGAAGATTCATGAAAAGCAAGACAATTGGTCAGGAAAATCGTAGTTGCTGAAAATGGACGTTTTACGGATTACACTTCGATGAAACTTTCCGGATTATCCTCAATATTTGGTAAAAAGGCTCTTTTGCTCAGCCTTCAATATCACTATATGATTCTGAGCAAAATGCTGCTGAAGAGTGGGCTACCTATGCAGGCAAAGTCAACAAGGAGTGTGAATGGTTCAAACTCCGAAGCATGACAGAGGATGTCTCATTTATATGTGGGTTGTAGTCTCCTGAAGATGCAGATATAAGAACAAGAATTCTCAGCAAGATTGAGCAGAACCCAGATGTCACTTTACAGAATATTACATCTGAATGCTAACGCCTTTGAATGTGAAACATGATACGGTCATGAAACAGGAAAATGGTCCCGGTAGTGCTGTTCGTGTGATCCAGAAGCGTACTGTTCGTCCTAGTGACAAGAAGCCACCTTCAGCATGCTGAAAATATGGTGAATGGTTTTTCATCAAATTCTGTCCGCTCAGAAGATACCGTTGCAGCAAATGTTCCCGTATTGAGCATGAGGATCGGTGTCAGGGCAAGGAAAGATAACCACCCAAGACGCCTTTTCGAACCAGATTTGCCAATTCCAAGTCTCCCAAGGCTCGCGTTGTTCTAGCCGCTTATCAAAGCCCCTACGCCAACGAGAGAGTATGTACCCGTGCATATTATCGGCACGCCTGTTCGTCTTCAGCTGGATATATCACCACCATCTCAAAAAGAACTTGGAAATTTCTTTGCAGCCCGGCACTAGCAAAAACCAAACAGGTAGCACGCAATGCATCCGGCAGTTTACTGAAACCCGGGTGAGCTCAGTTAGACGATATCACTAAGTGACATTAGTCATGTGTCCAGTCGTCTTGGCTTGAATTTTTTAGGACTAGATTGGATCGACAAGCTAAACCCTTCGGACAGGCCGCTCAGTAACAGAACATAGGCTACGATACCGAACATAGCCAAAAAGCTGCCTGATTCGCTTTGGAGGGGACACTCGAAGGTCTGTGCACCAAGTCCATGCCGTACCACCTTCAATCAAATGGAAAAGCCGAAATGTTTGTGGATACCCTTAAGCAACCTCCGTTGCAATCTCGATGGGAGGGACAAACGGACGATGTCATTGATGCTTTCCCAACCAACAGCCGGACGATACCAAACCCAAATACGCCAAATGAAAGTCTCTAGCCGAGGTTATGTTTGGGAAGAAAGTAAAGACATTGATGCACTGTGGTTCGGTAAAACCAGAGGGACCGGCGAGAAAAACCAATCAGAAACGGCAAACGTTGCACTGGGCGTATTTTTTTAGCCGTGGAGACTCTGTTCTTGTCAGAGAGTACTCAGCGAATCTTTGGAGCTCGGGCCTGATATTGTGACGAAGAGGAAACGTCTAATAGGAAGTCCAATTTGACGGAGCGGTATGGATTCGGCACTACGTTCGACCCACTATAATCCAAGAAAGAAAACGAATCTATCGTTAGATATTCTGCTTGAAACGTTCAAAATGAAATCCAAGAATGAGTCAACGGAATCAACCACTGGCGTCAACTCATCTCGGTTGCAAAGAAAAATGGGGCGACGAAGAATTCCTGTAAATCGGTTGCAGGTAACCCCCAGATTGAGAACCTACGATATATATACTAAAATGGGGATGGTCAGGACGCGTCCAGACAGGGAAAAAGCACATGTGCCTTCATTTTTGTCCACACCAGTGTTCCGTGCGTCCGCTCTTATCTTCCACTCTGTGATTTTTTGTACCATACGGTCATATCTTTTTTCTTCTTTGTTAGTGTCTTGGCATTTTTTCTCAAAATAACTTCCAGGAAGGTAAGCCTCTGAACATAAGGTTTCTTTCCTTTTCACTCCACTACTGCCTGTAATACAAGAGCATCTCTGTTTACAACGGATTCTACGTCAAGCTATGGTTCCTCCAGGACTGCTCAAACTGGCGTGAGACAGGAAGAGTCGCACACTCAGGACATCACTTAAAGCTCAATTGCAATCAAGATGTTTTTTTGGATTCCCTTCACCCAACCTCAAGATTTTATCGAAACTTTTTAAGAAAGTACCGGGACTTTTCGACGTGATAAACTGTCGATACTTCCCGGACAGCCTGCATACGATATGGAAAAGAAAAATGTATTGGAGTTATTTTTGGAAAGTATCGGTTTTCCTAGGTCCGTATGTTGAACTGTGATGTCCGACTACGTATACTGTAAATGAAAAGACAATTGGAGGTGAAATTGACCTGACAGACATCAACAGCTATTTCATTAGGCTAACCGTGTGTTACATTCGAGTGCATAAGTCTGCAGAAGGGCAACGTCCTCGATAGTTTAGTTGGTAGAATGTCCTTCTGGTAATTCGGAGCTCGGTGATCCACTTCACCGTCAGGCGCTTCCTTCTCTCAGATTCAGAACAGACGGCTCAGAAAAAAGTTATATGATGTGAACAGTCTTAATGCCGAATCTTCGCCAAACCCTGTGAGGCAGCATGTGCAATCATCTTATCGCCGATCAGTGCAACTGGGCAACAGCCAATCCTCAGTAGTCCGCCCGCTGGGGTAAGGGCAAGTTCAAATTGAGCGTTTTAGTGGTGCATACCATGGAAACATGTGTATCCTCTCCAACCTAACCAAAGTTCCTAATTTACCTCACATCAGTCGATTCGAAATGTCGAGATTGTTTTGTGAGGACACATGGTAATCTGCTTGTTTATGGTTGTTGTGTCCTCTCCACCTTAGTCTAGTTTTAAGGTCAAGGTCACGTGTACGTTGCTGTTCGTGCCTGTTCCGTAGCCAAATGGATAGTTCTGTTCGGCGTAGCAAGGTCACGTGACCTTGATCGATTATTAAGCAAATTGGGTGATTGTGATATCGCACTTTAATAGAACATACTTCCTCTGGGGTAGCAACTCATTTCGAAAGTTTGTTTTAAATCACAGACTCTTCCTCACCCAAGCAGGCGAGATTGCGTAGGGAAGATTAGATCATGACCTGGCAGCCGAAGGTGAAGCATCCTAGTAGCAAACTCAATCGCGCATCAAACTGTAGTCGGACTGGATGGAGACCTCTAGACGGGCTACGCCGATGTCTAGAGACTTGCGAACATGGCCCAGTCCTGTTTCTGGTCTGTTTTCGTCAGTGCACAACTCAACCTTTCAGTCGACCTCCCCCCTGTTTTGAGTTGTCGCTTCTAATACGAAGTTCTGTTTCTCTAATCCAATGATTTTTCATCAGTGAAAGAAGTTTTGCAGCTCAAGACGTTGTGCGAACTGTGAACCGTTTATATTTGCGACCGCTGCTGGAGAAAGATAGTGACAAATATGATAACGGTGAAACCTTTGAGGCTTTTGACGCTGATGGGCACCAATATAGCAGGCAATGCTTCCGTTCTGGAAGGAATGTTCGTTTCTTATTTTTCCTTCAGAAGTTGAAGTGATGACTGAGATACATGGCAAGGATGCATCGCCTCACTTTAGCTTCACTTGTTTTCACCCTGCACATCTCTGGTGTGTTCCTACCTTTACCCGCAATATGATTAGGTGACGCGAGCCGTTATAAACCCGCAGGAAAAACATGGTACCAAGGTCCAAATAGTGGTTTGTACATGAGTTCTAATCCCCCAAGACTGAATTCACGGTGGCTCTGAATAAAAAGCAG